ACATTTGACTACTGCAGAGTCATTTGACCTGGGTGTGAACGCAGATTATAACCTTTCCCATTACATTAAAAAGCCAGATGCTAGCAGGTGTTAGCTGGTTTTCTGTGCAGTGGAAAAGGGGTTCAACACTCTGTGGACTGACTTCTATGTAGAAGTCTTGGGCTGATTTTTCCAGTTAAATGCACGGGCTGAATTCACGTTGCTACAGCTGCTAAGATCGCTGCTGCTGTCCACTCTCCTCCCGGGGAAGTAGTGCCCTAGCTGCAGGGAGTGAGGCAGAGGGACCACGAGCTGTGCTAACTGCTAATTCTTCTCTCATTTGTTGTCTGATAAATGGTTAATCCATCAAATTCAGTGTCCTTCAGGGCTAATGGAGCCAATGGTCCAAAATATACAGGGGACACCAGACATAACATTATTCTTGATATAACCGAAACTTCTTTCCAGTATTCTATCAACACGATGATGGCCAATCATGGTTAGTCTTGTGTTTGACAGTTTTGACAGATGGCCAGGTGCTCGCTCGTGGCTACGGGGTGCGAATGTGAGCAACAGGATGCTTCACTTGACGACCTCAGAGAGAGTGGTCGCTAATAACAAGGAGATTGTGAAAGTTACATACAGAACCTTTAAAATCAAATTGTATTTATACCACAAACGTATCTTGTCTCAAAGAAAAGAGAGAGTTTGGATAGATATGGTGATTTTTTGGTGTTCTGTTGGGTTGATTAAAAAACCTACAAACCCCACATTACATGACTGTTTGTCTCAGCAAGTGGGAAAAAGTCGATCAATATCTTCTGAACTAAAATATACAAAAGCAGGTTGTGTTGAGTTCCTTACCTTTCTCCAGAATATCCTCTGCTCCTTCTTCCCACTGATCTTCCTCATCCTCATACTCATCGTCCACATCTAGACAGTGAGGAGAGAAAAGGCGGGACAAGAGAAAAGTATTAAAACTCCATTACAGCTCCTTTTTGTTCCTGAGAAGCAACAGATGTCTCAAAGTGAACGCTGACAGAAACACAAAAAGTTGACTCGTACCGGCTTCATCCAGGATAAACCCTCCGTGTCTCGGCTTCTTCCTGGGACGGTCGTCATCGTCCTCCTCCTCTTCTTCGTCATACTCCTCCTCATCTTCCAGGTCCTCCCCCTCCTCCTCTGCTACCTTGTCGCTGCCCACAGGGCTGCCCGTCTCCTCCTGGTGAGTCAGTGAGTTATTTGCTCAATTAATCAGTTAAAATGATTCAGTTTGTTAAAGTAGAGAAGATAGTGATCAGTGACCCAGAGCCAAACGTGACACCTTTGTTTGGTCCAACCTAGGAGTGTGTCACATCATCTCATTCAAGATAATAAAAGATATGAAAAATCCATAGTGTGATACTCGCAGTATTTCCACTTGTTGACATACTGACATCATACTGTTACCCACGGCAATAACAAGCATGGCTGAAAGTGAAATTATTGGCGACTCCTTGGTGGTTCCAGTAAAAAGAGGAGCAGCTTCAGTAGTGTGGAATAAACTGTGGCGTCCTGAATGTTTTACTTCTCTTAGCGCTCAGAGGGAACTCATTCAGCGGCTCCTCTGGCAGCAGCACAGCGTCTCTCCCTCTCCTCTCTGATTCTGTCACAAACCTTTGGTGATGGAAACCTACGTGACGCTCGCAGCTCGACAAATAACTCCATATATGTGAGTGTGTGATAGTTGTGGTATCATAACAGCCTGTCACAGGTTACAGCCTGATTAGAGGAGAAATGGCAGAGCATAAAAACAGAGAAGGAAATCACCTGTTGATTTATATATATAGATCCCAGGGGACATTTTTTGTATTTGGGAGCTGTTTAAATGTGTAATTAGTGGCAGATTTTATTTAGTTGAACTATTAATATTGTAACAGAACTGTTGTTCACAAACTAAAGAAATGGGAGATTATTTTTTCTTTAGTTTTTACTAAATATTTAAAGGCATCATCACTTATTTTGTTGCAATTCTATATTCTGAAATTACTGGCATGTATTTTTTTCTTATTTGTTATACCGTCAAGGATATCGTTGTCACAAAGATGCCCTGGAACATGGTGATATTATTTTAGAGCCCCATCATCTCCTCTTATCCAGCCAGCAGTCCCAATCTCAACATTATTGCTAAGACATTACAATAATTAACATCATCCACAGGAAGAGTTTGAGACTTGAACCATGAAGTGATTTTACAGGGAAAATTACTATCACATTATCATTATAAACTCACTGATAGAATGACTCAACGTCTTACTGAAACCTTTATTATATTGTACATCTTAATCTGTAGAGTAACTGAGGATGATAGATATAAAGCAGTGAGAAGCACAACGTTTCCCTCTGAGATGTGATGGAGCAGAAGTAAAAGTGTCATGAGAGGCAAATTCTCAGGTGGACTTGGAAACACTACAAACTAACTATGAAGTCAACACTGTGTCACATACTGTCCTTTTTCTATTAGTATAAGTTTAAAGCATTTATAACTGCCTGCGGTGACATATTTACTCAGGTTGTTCCACTTTATGCCGCCACATTCAATCACAATATTTACCTGCACCCACAGTTAGCATCGCTAGCTTAGCGGTTAGCATACCTCATTCTCCTCCACCTCCTCGGCCTCTCCATCGCTGCTGCGCTCACTCTGGTTGTCGGAGAAGTCGCTGTCGTCGCTGTCAGACATGTTGGAGCACCGGGGCAAACTGCGGCAGCGTGAATAAACACAAAACTTTCAACTTAAAAGTTTGAATCAAAAAGAGGCGGAGCGGCTAGTTAGCGGCTAATGTGGCTAGCAGCGCCGGAACATCCGGCCACAACAATCAGGACGGCCTAGCAAAGCATGCTAATGTAGTTAACACGGATATCTCCGGAACAGCTGAGATCAGATGTTAGCCGGTTAGCTCCGCGGCTCGTACTCACCTACTTTAACTCCCGCCTCTGGTTTATATGTCGATATTTTATCAATGAAAGGAAATATCAGTTTATTTCGGTTCTTCTGATGCCTCTCACGTCTCACTGGAGGAGAAGCGCGAGACTTCCGAAAGCTGCGTGGTTTCTCGCGGGTTTTGGAGGGCGGATGGGTCAAGAGAGGAAGAGGTCTCACTCTGCCTCTGAGTTTGAAAATTACAGACCAGTTGCAAATTCACTGGTTTATAGACAAATGGTGGAAGAAGTACTCAGATCGATTGTTATTATTATTATTATTATTATTACTATTAACAACAGGTAGTACCAGCTTCCTGTACTACAAACTGAGACGACAGCAGCTTTTGCTCCTCATCTGTGTGTGTTTGTGTGTCAGTAGTCGTTGCTATGGTAACTGCTGGGTGGCACCTGAGGGAGCAGAGGGAGGAGGCGCTGCTGAGACCAGAAAGCTCCTTTAATCAAGTTTAAACCTCTCAAACTCCTTTTTTTTTAAGCCACATCGTGAGTCCAGTGTCAACACAGTGTTTGGGCCACAGAGAGGAGATTCTGCCGAACGTGCAATTGTGTTTTTAACGTTTGTGGTGTTAGAAATGTGAGTTTGCCGGAAATGTCTCTTCTCAGTTTACATGGAAGTGAACGAGAGAAAAAAAATTGGCTGTGTCTTCTGTTCACTGAGCCAAATATGTGAGTGTGTTTGAGCCCATAGCAACATGTCTGAGACCTGCACAAACTTTCCTGCGTTTTATGAATAAATTGACTGTGTTTAATTTGGGGAGGAGTCACAGATATTTATATTCTGGTAGTATATGTGTTAAATATATTTAATTCAAATCAACAGAGCTGTATTTATCTCTGTGCCAGAGAATGCTTCAGATTACAGTCACAACAATTAATGTTCACAAACCAGTAACAACCAGTGGGCTCACTGGGTCACTCACTGGGCCCAGCTTTTAAAACAACACAGTTAAATATCTGGCAAAATATGAAAAATATCATAGATATAAAATGTTTAAGGAGCTACAAACAACAACAAAAAACAGTGCCTAACAAAGTAACAACAGAAGAACAGTACAAGAGTTACTGAAAATAAACTAAAATAGAGGGAAAATGCAGATTGTGTCTGATAATCAATAGGGTTGGGTACCGTTCATAATTGAACCGATACGGTACCGGTATCTGGAATTCGGTACCAGTAACAAACGGTACCGTATTTCGGTACTTTTTAACTTCTCAGTTTCAACATTTTATTGAGAACTTTTAGGAACAGTGCTGCACGTTAACTTTTGTCTGCACATGTTTTTTGTCACCATTGTTGCTGAGTCTGAGGTGCGAGTCATGCGCTCTCGCTCCGCCTCCACCTCAGGTACCGAAATTTGGCACCGATTCATTTTAAGTGAATCGGTACTCGGTTGTACCGACAACGTGAATCGGTACCAAATACAGAAAGTATCGAGTTTCAGTACCCAACCCTAATAATCAACACTATATATATTGTAAATGATATAACAAGTAGTATTGAACATGACATTGACAAGTGATCGTGAAATTGAAAAGTAATGTTGTGCCTGATTTTAAGAAAATATAACACAAGATACTGAAAGTATTATTTGCATCATGTACTCGTAACTTTTAATTCTGCAGTGCAGAAATAAAATACGCTGCTAGTAAATGTTTTGCATTCAGATTTTACAGTCATGTTTTATTAATTTTTTTTTTTTGTTTTTTTCAGGCATGGCAGCAACACACTTCTGTAAAGTATAAAATGTTTATATCATGTTTTTTTGGGGGGGTTTCTTTTCTTATTTGTTTGTTTGTTTGTTTGTTTTCCAGGTGTAGCAGCAATATGCTTCTGTAAAATATAAAATTCCTGCTTTTCTTTTTTGTTTGTTTGTTTTTTTATTTCATTTAAAGATGGGGCAGCAACACACGTCAGTAAAATAAAATAATGTTTGATTTTTGGGGTTTTGTTTGTGTGTTTGTTTGTTTACCCAGGCGTAGCAGCAATACGCCTCTGTAAAATATAAAAAGTTTACAATCATGTTTGGTTTTTTCATTGCAGCATCAAGCAAAAAGTCCAACAGTCTTTGGCTCCTCGGATATGACTCAGAGTGACTCCTCTCTCTCATCGCGATATCTCTGCTACGTCGTGACGCCATCACGTCAGACGGAGCGCTCAAACCAGCCAATCAGATCGCGCGGCTCAAGAAGAGTCCCGGGGAGTTCCGTGTTGACGCCACTGCTGTTTTGAAACCGTCGAAATAAAACCTCCATCTTTCTGTTTCTTCGTCCCCGCGTGTGTCTGTCCTCTGAGTGTCGGAGATGAACAGCGTCGGGGAGGCCTGCACCGACCTGAAGCGGGAGTACGACCAGTGCTTCAACCGCTGGTTCGCCGAGAAGTTCCTGAAGGGGGACCGGAGCGGCGACCCGTGCACCGAGACCTTCCGCCAGTACCAGCGGTGCGTGCAGAAGGCCATCAAGGAGAAGGACATCCCGATCGACGGCGTGGAGTTCATGGGCCCCAACAAGGACAAGCCCGAGAGCTGATCCCTGCCGATCATCAATACTGAGATCGATACGCCATATGGACCGGGGACTGTGTCCACGAGGCCCGTTGAGCATGCGCAGAAGCTGTGCTGCTGCTGCGGAAGAACACAGCGGGCTGCGGAGCCTGGACACTGAGTGTGTGTTCACACACACACAGACTGTTTTCTTTCCAAGCTGCTGCTTTTATTCTGGAGTTTAACATGACTGTGAGCTGCTGTAGCGACTGTAGGACACAGCTGATACTAGGTATCGATCAGTAACCAATAGATTGATTGATTGATTGTTGAAGACACAGCTGAGCCTGTGGCTGCAGCTGCTGCACTGATGCTTCTCTCTCTTTGTTTCACTGTAACTGAATGTTTCTGGGTTTGGACAAAACAAGACGCTTGAAGGTGTGAAGATTAATATATTAACTGGAAGAATTCACTACTGGATTTATCAGTAATGGAAATAATAATCATGACACTCAGCTGATCATTGAAGTGACAGTTTGTCTATAAATTTGACTTTTTTAAATGATTGTGTTTGGTGTTTGTTTTTTTTTTTACGAAGGAGGAGGATTAGGGTCATGTTAAAGGAAAAAAATTGATTTCAAGAATGAGGTTATAATATTACGAGAATAAAGTTGTAAATCTACAGGAATAAAGTCAAAATGTTTTGAGAATGAAGTTGAAACATTTTGAGAATGAAGTTGAAACATTTTGAGAATGAAGTTGAAACATTTTGAGAATGAAGTTGAAACATTTTGAGAATTAAATCGAAATATTTTGAGAATAAAGTCGAAATATTTTGAGAATTAAATCGAAATGTTTTGAGAATGAAGTTGAAATATTTTGAGAATTAAATCAAAATGTTTTGAGAATAAAGTCGAAATATTTTGAGAATTAAATCGAAATGTTTTGAGAATAAAGTCGAAATATTTTGAGAATAAAGTTGAAATGTTTTGAGAATAAAGTAGAAATATTTTGAGAATTAAATCGAAATATTTTGAGAATTAAATCGAAATGTTTTGAGAATTAAATCGAAATGTTTTGATAATAAAGTAGAAATATTTTTAGAATTAAGTCGAAATATTTTGAGAATGAAGTCGAAATATTTTGAAAATTAAATTGAAATATTTTGAGAATTAAATCGCAGTGTTTTGAGAATAAAGTCGAAATGTTTTGAGAATAAAGTCGAAATGTTTTGAGAATTAAATCGAAATATTTTGAGAATTAAGTCGAAATATTTTGAGAATTAAATCAAAATGTTTTGAGAATAAAGTCGAAATATTTTGAGAATTAAATTGAAATATTTTGAGAATTAAATTGAAATATTTTGAGAATAAAGTCGAAATATTTTGAGAACGAAGTGGAAATATTTTGAGAATTAAATTGAAATATTTTGAGAATTAAATCGAAATATTTTGAGAATAAAGTCGAAATATTTTGAGAATAAAGTAGAAATGTTTTGAGAATTAAGTCGAAATATTTTGAGAATTAAATTGAAATATTTGAGAATTAAATCAAAATGTTTTGAGAATAAAGTCAAAATATTTTGAGAATAAAGTCGAAATGTTTTGTACGACGGAGTATCAGGGCCACACTGAAAAAAAATTTCTAATATTAATGTGCCTGCCGCGGCTGGATCTGTGAGCGTTTGGTGGCTAAGAAGAAAGGAAATAACGGGATGTGACTTAATGGGGTGAAAATATCGTTAGTGAAACAGAAACAAGCGTTAGTTAGGGGACAAGATTCACAAAGACTCACGTATGTTAAAAGTTACTTAGGCTACAACCGGTGTATTTACTGTAGGCTGTGTGTCCGGGGTCCTTCGCCTGTGGAACGAGTAACGTGACCACTAACTTGTCCCCAAACCAACGCATGTTTCTGTGAGGCCTATGTGTTTCACTAACATTCTTTATGTATTATGAAGGATGTCAGACTGGCCAATCAGTGGCAGAGTTGGGCCCAGAGTTTCGACTGACACAGAATCGGCACGGTGCCGGTTCCCGAACCTATTAAGTAGGCCTCCAATCCTGGTTGCAACAATCAGTGCTCTGTAGAAAACGGCCACTAAATGGAAATAACAACTGCTAAATTGACACACTCCTTATAGACATGACAAACATCAAAATAGAAGTCTGGCGATATTCTGCATATTCTCACGTTAACAACTCCCCGAAAAGACTCAAACGATTGATTTGCTCCAACCGGTCAGCACTCACTCCCCGATTTGTCCCATCGACATCGTTTTCTGTCTTCTCTTCATACTAAATTCTCTAGAGGATTTTATGCCTTTCTTAAAGGGCAACTTCAGTATTTTCCAACCAGGACACTATTTTTACATGTTTTTGAAATTTGTCCAGAATTGACTGAGTGAAACAGGCTGCAGTGTAACCTCTTGGGAAATGTTTACACCATCATTTATTGTCCACTAAAAGTTCTTATTTTTGTCACTGACAGGCTCAGATTACATTTCTGACAACATTATGTTAAGGATCCCTCCAGAGATAGACCGTCTTTTAAAGACTAAGATCCATTTGTAAATTAGGAGTTCCTTTCAACTAAACCACAGTTGCTGATTGTTGGAACGGTGGAAATAGGAAACAAAACGGCTTTTTTAAGTTTTATTTTGTTTCTGTTTACTTTTAATGAAGTTTGTTTTACAATAATGGAATTACTGTTTATTTAAAAGGAGTCTGGTGGGTTTGATGATGGCGATTTTGGGGCTGTTTCTAGTTAAACAAAAAGGATCTTAGTCTTTGAAAAAAGGTCTTTCTCTCAAGGGCTCCTTTCCATAATGTTGTCAGACACTTAAGATAATAATCTGAGCCTGTCAGTGGCCAATCCAAACACTTACTGGACTTACACTGACGGGGCGAACATGCAGCCTGTTTTGTTCCCACCAGCTGTAGCCGTCTTGATCAATACTGGACTGATTTCAAAAACCGTAGTTCCCATTCGTCACTTACACACAAAATCATGTAAAAATAAGTTAAAAAAGTCCCTCTAAGGAATGCACAAAGTCTTTGAGAACTGATGGAACAGATGTGGAGTTCGCTGCAGGTGAGTTTGAGCAGCATAGTTCTCCCTTCCAAACAGTTAAGATAACAACAACATGATTATACCAACAGCGAACACTCCATTCGTACGCGCACAGTCATGAGGTGAAGCTGAACTGAAAACTCAGTTGCAGGCATTTAAAGTTACCTAATCTGTACTCCAGTGGGATAAAAACATTTCCAGATGTGGAGTCTGGCTCAGCGTGTCGGTGTCGAGTTGTTTCCTTAAAAACTACAACTTCATTCTGGTAATATTATGACTTTAATCTCATAATATTTCGACTTTATTCTCGTAATATTACGAGTTTTTTCTCGTAATATTTTGACTTTATTCTCGAAAGCTCCGATTTTTTTTTTCTTCAATGTGGCCCTAATCAGAGATGGGGACTTGAGTCATTGTGACTTGGACTCGAGTCGACTCGAGTCTTTGTTTTGATGACTTGTGACTTGACTTGACAAAAAATAAAAGACTTGAGACTTGACTCGGACTTGAAAGTTAAAGACTCGGGACTTGACTTGACTTGAGACACGATGACTTGAATGACTTGATTGTTATTCACATCATGTTTTCGGTTAGAATATAAAATTAATAAATTAATTTAAAAAATAATGTTGATTACCCGGTAGGAGTGCAGGCTGAGAATGGCGTTGTCATGATTGGATCACTACCCTGTCAATCAGTCATGCCCTCTCTACGTACCTTATGTGTTTATTGGAGAAACATGTCCTCTTATATCAGATAGGCATCAACATGTCAGCTGGAGGGGTACCTAGAGTCATCGTCTTCGGCTTTCGGAATTACCATTATTACGGCATAAGACGAACAGCACAGTGCAAGACATGCGGCATAAACATCTCGGACAGCCAGGCGACAACTTCAAACTTTGTTCGTCATTTGAAGAGCCATTCTGCCCAGTAAGTGCTTGTCAATTAGCTAATATTATCTGGTTAGTCGGTAGTTAGCTAACGTTAGCTTATACCATACGGGGGTGGGGTGGGCAGGTGGGTCGGTTTAGTGGAACTTGTTTTTTAATTTATTTGCTGACATTAACCCCAGAAAACGTGAGCGAACATTCCGACCGGTTCATCACAAGACCGGCTGTACGTTTTATGAACAAGCAACACAGGGTTAAATGAGCTAAATGGGTGATTTTGGCCGCTGCCTTGGTTAGTGTGTGTGTGTGTGTGTGTGTGTGCATGGGGGTTGTCCCTGCAAAGTAAACATTGCAGCGATGAAGTCAATGTTTACTGACAGTTACTTATATTTTGTCTTTTCACTTTATTAAGATCAGATTCTGCAGGTAAAATTACAATAATAAGGTGACTTGACTTGGACTTGACTTGACCTGTTACAGGACTTGACTTGACTTGACTTGACATAACCTGTGACTTGACTTGATTTGACTTGACTTGCCCAAGAAAAAATGACTTGGGACTTACTTGAGACTTGAAGGTTAAGACTTGAGACTTACTTGAGACTTGCACATGTGTGACTTGGTCCCATCTCTGGCCCTAATACTCCGTCGTAAAATATTTTGAGAATAAAGTCGAAATATTTTGAGAATAAAGTCGAAATATTTTGAGAAGTAAGTCGAAATATTTTGAGAATTCAGCACTGAGGATTACAGATAGCATCCAGCGAACACGTGCTCATGATCAGAGGAGAGTTACCCAGGATTCATGTGAACTTATTGTGAATAAAGTGGACGCTCAGTATCACTCAGGACCTTGAATCACAACATGGAAACAGCTCGTCCCTACAACTGTCAGTCTGGGTGAAAATTAATTCTTTTGGGATGTCGGCCAAGATGGTGATATGCAAACTGGAGAGCATAAATAAAGAATAATCCATCCATCCATCCATCCAATACATTAGGTTCTTAGAGATGCGTTTGCTTCTGTGGACGGAAACTGTCAAAATCAGAAATAAAAATATGACTCAAGAAATAATTTAATATGCCATCAAATGCACCAAAAATAATATATAAATATAGGCATTAATTCATCGCTAAAATGTGACATAAGTTAATATTTCTGTTTAAATTTTCTTCTTTATGAATTTACCTTTGTTCTGATCCCCCAATTTATTTTCCCTTTTCATTATTTATTTATTTCTATTACTTTTTTGAATTTATCAATAATTGCATTTGCATATTTTATTTAAAGGTGGCTGCCATCTTGAAAATATGTAAATAAGGTCTCCAGATGCATCCTATCATTTAAATAAGTGTGTTTCTTGTGGTCAAAAAAAAAACATAAAATAGACACCAAGCATTTGTAGCTCATCTGGCTCACAAGTTAAAGCAGAAATCGTTCTCAGGTGGCAGCCATTTTGGATTTTGTCACCACGGTCTTCAGACTGCGACGCCCGATAACCAGATGTTTCCTACATATAATAAGCTCATAAATACCAAATATGGTGCTTTTATCACAGAATGAACAGTTTGCCAGTTTTGCTGCTCCACTGTATATAAACCAATAATCCATGATAATACATTTGATTAATCGACCCAGTTAATATTTACAAATTAATATCTAGGGACTGAATTCACTGCTTTTTAAATACTTTTCCTTTTCCTAAACACACATGTATAAACACGGAGATGGACTCATGATGACAGGAACTCTTCGCTCTGTTTGGTCAGACGATCATTATTTATGCTGATGACATGAAAACCTTTAAACAAGCTTCCTCTGAAGCGTCTCGCTATCTCTGTGTGTGTCCTCTCAGCTACCAAGTTTCGCAGCTGTGG